GTAGGCTTATGTCGTGCCAACCACTTGCGTCTGACCCCGCGTGCGGTCTTCTTAGCTCTGTCTTGAGACCGGCGATTGGCGAATGTGGGAAGAGCGAGTGCCGTAGATGCGGCGTAAGTGTACTATCACCTAAAGCTATATTACATGCAAGTCACAGTCCCTGCGTCTCTATGTTGTGAAGTGCATGTTGAACTTCGTCGAATCTGACGTCTTTCATTGGAACGGATGACAGGCTCTCAACCCAGTAGGGGAATAGTATAAGTGCAACTTCTCATAGGTAAGCAGGGTTTCTGAACCTTGATTCTCCAGCAGACCGCCCTACTTTTCCGTCTGCCTAGCTAGAAACTCTCTTTCCCGGGACATTTATAGTGCAGGCATTTTTCCTACCACAATCGGCTAAATCTTGGGTTACAGTCAGGCGACTTGGATGTTTTACATCGCTCAGAAGGACAAACAGGCGCCATTGGAGAAAAGACAAGTGGTGGCCGAAGTAAATTGAAAAGCGGTGTTATCTGTTTTCGTTTTTAGAACGATAAGTAGCGAGTGCAAACGTGCGATCTAAAACAAAAATTCCTAGTGCATTCGCGTTGTGATGTTTTTATGCTTTTTTTAAAATATTAGGCTGGTCGTTTTTGAATTTCCCTGAAAACGCCTATCTACCGATCAATGCTAGGAAAATCGTTTTCTCCCAAGGTCTACTCCTCGAAATTATGATTAATGAATACGGGACCCTATAACAACGAGATCTGCTCTTTGCTGGACCTTTGCTTTATTTGTAAGGGACATGGATGGATTTGGCCTAAGTGGTGAATGGGATAAAGATGCGCCCTTTAAAATCAATTAGGCAGGTCTCTATTTCATCATTGGGTCAGATAGTTTACCATCACCCATTGAGTACGTACAATCACAGACAATAGAGCGTAAGCCTGTGAATCAACCTATAGCTCAAACCTCAGGCATTTCCAGCTTGGGGTGTGTTATGACAGGCGGAAAATAACAGCTGCGCCAGCAATGGTCACTCGAGCCTCCCTTACATTTTGTCAGTACTGACTTTAGAAGATTGCCTTGATTCATGCCTTCTAGGGGAGCACCTTTGATTCGCCATTGATTCGAAACCTTCCCGACCTGTCGTCCGCACCAGCTGCTCTACAGTTCTACCTGCCTTGCAAGGGGAAGCGAGTAAATCGTGTGGATGACAACTGTTATGCCCTCTCTCGCTGGTCACCCTACCTGGAGGACCTGCTGGAGGTGAGTATTTGTAGCTGCTATCTCGATCAGATGATAAAAACAGTGAATGCTCCGATGCCCAAAACCAACCCTG